AGTCCTCCTGTGTATATGGAAAATTGTAGATAAGTTTCTTTCCAGGTCTCTTTTTACATAGTGGACTTGATTTCATCACTCTTGTTATATAACAAGGTGATAAGAATAGATTCTGGTATATATTCTGCACAGGGTCTTCGCAAACAAGACTGCAAGAGAAATAATTGTGTCCGAAATACTGAAATGTATAGATTGTGTACCTACCTATAGCTTTATTAGTTATTACTTCATCTGATAGCTGTGTCAGGATTGTTAGAAGGGAATATGGCACTCTAGTCTCTAGTGGTAATAATAGCCTACAAACACTAAGATACTAATATAGATGCAGATCTGAATGTGCAACAGTGAGTTCACTGAACATTTCGACTCAAAATCAAACGTTAAAATAACTTTACTGAATGAAAAGTATAGTATGAAAAAAATAGTTTTTTTTTTTTTGTTATGGTATGACATTTGTCCAGTGGCATCCTGGTTAGCAGTTTCGTATTCCTTGTTTTCCTAAACATACAAAATGGCTAACAGATTTTCTTTCAAAGTTAAGCTTCGTCTACCAAGAAGCCAGCAGGCTCAGTGAAGAGCATTGAGATGAAATACAATTGACGACAAAGAAGAAAAATCCAGGTAGCTAAATATCACAACGTGTGATAATATTTGCCATATACAATATTTTCATAATTATAATGTAATTTACTCTTGAGACGGCAAAGCTGAATTTTCAGTAGCTATAGTCTTCAGTGTCACACATGATCGCTCAGATATAATTTTAATATACCGTTATGATGCTCAGTTATACTTAATAATTATGGTTCTTAGGCTATTATCAATGTTAAAAACTGTTTATTGTTTTATTTATTTTTTATGATTTTTAATTAATAGAAAGCTTAAACGACAGCATTTTATTTGAAATAGACATATTTTGTAACATTATATAAATGCCTTCACTGTGACTTTTGATCAATTGAATGCATTCTTGCTAAATAAATATATATATTTTTTAAGTATTTAATTAAAACACAAAACAAAAACATGGTAGTGCATGACGGTTTACACAAATTATTAGGCAACAAAAACTTTTTTCAATGTTCATGAAGGATCACGTGACTCTGAAGACTGGAGTAATGGCTGCTTTATGGATTATGGGATTTTACATGGATACATTTTCCCTGGGAGTGGAGGTGAATTACACTTGCATAATAGCTACATCTAGTGGTCTCGGATAAAAATATTCTCATATTCACCTTGGTGGGGATAGGAGGAAAACTGTTGTATGGAGGAAATATATATGTCTTGCTCGGCAGTTAAATTGTTCAGGGATATGTAGTAAACATATTCACCATTGTTTCTGATAAATCACTATAGTTAGTGCTAAAGTTATTAATACTGTTGTCACGAATCCGGTCCGTGGCCTTCCGGCCGATTGCCACCAGAGGTCGCTCTCTCATTACATTGACTCTCACACCACTGCGGAGCAGAGGATGGGTTGAAAAAGTTTTTAATCGGTGCCAACTCGTGTCATGCGTAGTCCGGTCAACAGATTCACATATTGATTAATAATTTAAAATATACAAGTGTGTGATTATAATTAATAAATGACGTGAGTAGTAGCGAAAATGCAATAGAGGTGTGACGTGCATTTAGTTTCTGTCTGGTGTTGAGGTTATTCTAAACTATTCTACTGAATCCCAAATAAGTGTACACACACACACAATTAAGTCAATGTAAAGTCAAACACAAGAGTCATGCGAATCGCCGATTTTTTTCAAACCAGCTGTCCCGACCTTCCGATACCGCATGACGTTCGAAGCTTCAAACGTCATCAGTCACGTGGTATTGTCATTTCGATACAAGGTGTGATACAATAGTGCTTTGAAAACTGCGTCGGAGCATCGGAGCCTCGGTATCAATCGTCCCATCACTACTGCCGAGTATTGTTTAGCGTATATCACTCTTCTAGCAATAGCTACATTACGGAGCCATTCCAAGTTTCCGTTTCTAGTTCTAGTCCAAGTCTAGTCATTTCGTGTTGCCTTGTTGTCTGTTTCCTGATCTTCTGCCTGTGTATCTTGGATTAACCCTTTGCCTGCTGTTTCGGACTGTGTTTGCACCTTGCCTGGACTATTGCTTGTGTTATTGGATAACCCCTCGTGTCAAGCCCTCTGGATATTGTTCGCCGATCATCACAGTGGCATTTTCTATAATATGCTGATGTATATTCTTTGTTTTTGTTAAATTTATAGAAGTACAGAAATGACTGACACATCCCTGTGAGAAGAGATAAGAAGGACAACTAGGAACCACAACCTGGAGGAACAACTGCTGTCTAACATCTTTATTTTGTTAAAATCATCAATATTCAAGGAGTTTATAAAAATCATACATCAACAGGAGAGACAGGCATCTTTGGAAAGATCTTACTTTTGTGAAGCTCATTAATGATGGCAACACCCGAGAACCTTTCAGCCAATTCGAACCTGACCCAAACCGTGAAATATGATCCAAAGTGTGAAACTGTGATGTTACCAAATGGGTTGGTTTCAGTGGCAGGTGTCACGGTGGTGACGGGGGGGAGCAGAGCTGTCCTGTGGCTCCTGTATGTTGGCCTTTGGGGTTTGGGGCACTCTGGTTGGGTTGAGTGTTGTGTCGGTGGGTTTGTGGGATCATTTGGAGTACCAGAGCAGTGGTCTGTCACACGTTCTGGCCCTTGGATTGGTACTGCTGCTTAGCAGTTTGGGTCTGGTAGCTGTGATCTTCGTCCTCCATTTCTTAATGAAAAAGAGAAGAATGATGGCCAGAAGAGAGAGGGCAGAAGTGAATCTAGTGCTGGTTAATGAGTATGCAGAAGTTGTTTTAAAAAGAGTCACGGTGTAAAAGAGCAATGAAGTGAAAATATTTGAATATGTCAGACTACCAGCTGCTCCATCGCTGTTTTTCTTTTCTTATTGTTTAATCATAAAGGAATGTCACAGGAAATTAATTGGATTCGATGCTACAGCAAACACTTTGCTATTTCCTTTGTGATTTCAGATTACAAAAGAGACATATTTGCTTCTGCATTCATGTCTATTAGACTTTTATTGTAAATCTAACTGAATTAATATTATTCGAGAGGTTTTTAGCTTTTAAATTGATGCAATGACTGAATAATTGCATCTCTTTTTAACTATATGTACTGTATCATTGTGTAATTTTGTCTAATCCGAGTGCATCTCTATTTTAGATATGTATTTTGATATATCACATAAATAATATTTTCTCCATTGCCATATACTATCATTAAGGGGGGAAAACATGAACACATGACAACAGGACTAATTACATCACAGCTGCATAAGCAAATATAGATACGTATAGGCTATAAAAAAGGTATATATATATCTGCCTTTACAAAACAAAAAAATTTGGAAATATACAGTACTGAAAATATGATGCAATATATTAAATAATACATTTCCATGTGGGAAACTATAGAGCTTATCAATATACTGCAATATATCCATGGACAAAGTATGGCTATATATTTATACATGCAAATGAAGACAATAACTGCACCACAGATTTACAATAGCTTTATTGAAACACTCAATTATAATAGTTAATGCTTGGGTTTACATAAAGCTGAACACATACTATCTCACTTTATTGTTTGCATAGTTACACATTTGCTATATGAAAATATGTGTGATGGTATATAAGAAAAATGCCTGAAATATTTACTAAAAACAAATATCAAAAGTTTTGGATTTTTGGACAATTGGATGTATTGTTAAAGTCATGGCAACATGGTGGGCAAAAAAATGAGATTTGACATTTATAACTTAATTGATTTGAGTACTTTATGTAATATGTATAAATACAAATACATAGATATATATCACAATATGTATTTTCCTCATAATATATTGAACGTACATGTTCCCATGAAATGTTAATATATATAGTACATTTATGTTCAAATATATTTACATACACACACACACAAAAAAATACCATATTTTATTACATATATATATTATGAAGGATATTACTGAATATAAAATAACATATAATATAATATAGTAATACATCACATATGTTTATGTCACATATTTTTCAATATATGAAAACTCCTTATGAATTTTTCTACATTTTGGAACATAGTAACATAGTACATTATTCTGCATAATTTCAATATATAATAAATAATTTAATATATCGATTGTTAATATATAAGAAAAATACATTTTCTTTGTGTAAGGGTGGGTAATTTATCAACGTCTTTTTGATGGGTAGCACCCAAGGAGGATTTTCCAAATGATGATCCAACCCAAAGAGGCATTAGTGCCTTTTTCCAAACCTGTTGTTAAGTATCATTTTGTTCAGCAATGTTATTCTTACTACTAATACATTTTACATGTATAGTACAGTGTGCTATTTTAAATTATTTCACTGTAACACTTTGTTAAACTTACATTGAATGTTAAAACATCACTTACTGAAATTTTAAAAATGAATTGTTCTGTGTAAAAACGGTAATATCTGTCTCCATCTGCTGGTCACTTTTATTACTCTTCGTAAGTGACTTGGTAAAAAGTTATTCTGCCTGTCATGAAAATAACATTTACTTGAAATAATCATTAAATTATTTTTTTTACTAATACTAATAATACTATTTTGAATATAATAATTGCATAATGATTAAATATGATGTTAAAACTGTCATTCATTTTTTTTGTACTCGTGCGTAATCTTGCACACAGCTTTTTTCCCCTGACTTTTTTTAGCCCTCATTGTCATGTTCATGTTCAAATGAGCCACTTGTGTGCATTTAGGTTAAAGACAAAAATTGCACGCTCTTAAAAACTAAAAGATGATCAACTTAATTATGGTCGCTGCAGACAAAGCTCAACTTACAGTTACAGCAACATTACAAAAGCACATTTGAAAACAATTTGTCACCTACTTGTGTAATGTGCAGCAATTAATGGACAAATGACAAAACTACAAATAATACCACATTTCCCCATATTCACTTTTTATTTATTGTAGAAATGTATTTGTTAAAAATAAAATACACATTACAACTGTGTACAACTAAACATTTGTATCTTCAGTTAGTTCAGTAATAGCAATCATATTCAGAATTACTGGGGGAGTTGCATAAAGCAAGCACTCCTCCAATATTCTCCCTCAAAGTATTTATGAGGCCAGATACACCCTGACTGTAAAGGAACTGATTCTCTGCAATATTTCCTGCCACCTTCACCACATCTTCCATAGCATTTATAACAGGCTGCCAGAAGATGAAACGTTGAGTTTGTCTCTCCAGTACAGTGACTCTTCCACTAAGAACACTCAGTAGATTTACAGCTCTTCTGACCACTTCTTGAAATGCAGCTGTGCCCTCTAGATGCTGCTTCACCTCTTCAATCTCCCTCTGAATTTTATTCAGCACCTTATCAGTCTCTTCAATCTCAGTCTGTATCCTAGAGATCCTGGACTGGTAATTAGACACGTTCATGCTGTTCTCATTCACCCGAGACTCATTTTCTTTAAGCTCATCTTCAGCATCCCTGATAGCCTTTGAAGCATCCACTATTGTACTTACTCCACTATAGAAAATTACTGGACCTATAGGAAAGCAAGAAATTACATCAGCCACAATAGATGATTAGGTGTGCTCTTCAGGATGATGATAAATGGTAGGTATTGCAGTAGTGATCAGAAGTAGAGAATTTCTCACCTGCAATCCATCCAGCAATTGGTATCAGGGTAACACCTACTCCTGCAGCTGCCACCCATCTACCTGTCTCCTGCTTGTCTTTCTCTTTTTTTAATGTATGTTTTGTTAATTCTACATTTTTTTGGGCCTGCTTCAATGCAGCTTCGGAAGACTTTAATGATTCTTCAGCTGATTTCTTCTCAATATATAATTTATGTTTGGCCATAAATTTTTCCTTCTTCTGCTGCTCAACATTTCCCTTTTCTAAAGTAAGTCGCTCCATCCATTCATCCAAATATCCCAGTTTTTCTTTAATTGTTGTCTCTGATTTTTTCAGGTATTGCTCAGCGTGCTCAATATGTCCCCTGATTTGTTTGTAATTGGAGCATGTGTCAGTGGTGGGATCAATTTGTGCATCCAAGAGAGACATGCAGATGTTAGAGATAGAAACAATTCCCTCATTTAGAGGCCCAACAACTGCCTCCACAGACTGCAAATCCTCAACACTGTGAAGATACAGTGTGAAGATATAGAATAAGAAAAATAATCATAAACAAATATAAAAACAGCAATATTTTGTGAACAGAGACTAGATTTAGAAAAACTTACTCAGATAATTGGAACAGTTTTATTTCAGCTGTCATACTGAAACACAAAAAGGGAAAAAATTAATGATATTGTGTGTCATTAAACAGTGCTATTGACTTAAGCAAAACATTTTGGAGTTATTGTAAGTATTACGGTTTTATTTCATTTAAATTCACAACTCAAAAACAAATTCAAAGAAACAAAGCAAAACAAAAAAGTTGTGAAACTGGTCTAGGTAAGGCAATTGGTAAAGGATTAATTAACAATATCACATAAGAGTGCACTGTAAAAAGATTACTGTGAAATTTACAGTAACTTGCTGGCAGCAATTGTCAAGTTAGTTGCTGTAATATATTCCACAGTATGCTGACTGTAAGTTTAATCACAGTAACTTACTGTATTACTGTATTTTTATTACAGTAAAAATCACAGTACTGTAATTGCAACCAGAGTAATAGAATGCTGTATTTTTTAACATAGCAAATATTCTTTTAATTTTACTGTGTTAATTGTGTGTAATGTAAAAGGAAGACACGGTTTTTGCCACAAACATAACATTTATTGATTTTAAAATGTGAAAATACATAAAAATGGCATAAAATAGATTTCAATTTTGTATTTTTCAGTGTGTAAACACTTTTTATTTTGCATAAACCTAAAAATGTATAGTTTTTTACTTTGTTCCAGTTTAGGGTATATGTCAAACATCACATAACAAACCAGAAAACAGAACTCATTACTGCCGCTTGTCAGAGAAAGTGTTAACAGCATTCTAAAATAACAGCCAAGTCAAGTCAAGTCAAGTCAAGTCACCTTTATTTATATAGCGCTTTTAACAATACAGATTGTGTCAAAGCGCGATATCTATTGATTTTGTTTTGAGGTAAAAAGCTTACTTAGCTAAGTGTTTTCAATATAATTTTTCAATATCAGTGGGAAGAAAAATAACAAACATTTATATATCAATCTTCATACAGCAGCAGTCAAACGTTTACATACGCCCTGCAGAATCTGCAAAATGTTAATTATTTTACCAAATAAGAGGGATCACACAAAATGCATGTTATTTTTTTATTTAGTACTGACCTGAATAAGATATTTAATATAAAAGACATTTACATATAGTTTCACAAGAGAAAATAATAGTTGAATTTATAAAAATGACCCTGTTCAGACGTTTACAAATGCTTGATTCGTAATACTGTGTTGTTACCTATTTTTGTTTTCCAGCATTTTTGTGTATTTGAACCCTTTCCAACACTGACATCCATCTTTTCACACTGAGGACAACTGAGGGACTCATATACAACTATTACAGAAGGTTCAAACGCTCACTGATGCTCAAGAAGGAAAAACCATGCATTAAGAGCCGGGGGTGAAAACTTTTGAACAGAATGGAGATGTGTACATTTTTCTTATCAGACGAAGAAGTGAATGATGTGTGCTCCCGGCGCCTATTTATACTATAGTCGCACCGGTAGTGACGTCATGGCTGTCGCCAGCCAACAAGTTGGTGTTTTTTCAATGTATGCTTCAGACACGGGTCACGACGAGGCGTTCCCCATAGCGACCCCTAGAGGACGCAGTGTCTCGTTCCCTACTCAGGGAACCATGGTTACATAAGTAACCTGAGATGATTTTCACTTAGTGTAAATAGCATCTATCGCTAAGAAAATATGCTATTTTCACTTAGAGTAAATCGCCTCTATTGCACCCAACCCTAAAACATCTTCCCGCGCTCCATATGAGAGACGGAGGTCTACGAGATCTTATGCCTTAACTACAATCGCTGTTTTCTACCTGTTGTCAAAAAGTCCCAAATACAATGGAAAGGCAAGCCAAACGCAGACGTGTCTGGGTTCACAGCACCATCCAGAGGAGGATGAATAACGTTAGGATCCTGTATTAATGTTATATAATAACAGAAGTCTGCAATAATGCTCTCTTCTATTGTCTGGTTCAACTGGACGTGTCAAGAAGCTCTTCGCAACAAAAATATATATATATATATTGTCATTGTTCAGCTGTCAGTTCAGTGCCGAATCAGTTATTATTAATTATAATAATTCATATTTCATCTATAAAAGTAGGTTGGTTATTCAGATAGTGATGTCAGCTTAGTTCAGTTTCATACAGCAGCGTCAGTACAGTCAGATCAATAATACTGTTGAATGTATAGAGCTTTCAGACACGACTTTACTCTTTCTGTTTTTTTTAATAATAGATTACAGACAATGGTTAGAGGTCTGCAGTGGGCGAGCGGAGGACTCGTTGAATTGGACACTGCGGAAGAAATGATCGCTGTTGTGCAAATTCATAACATTGGACATACCCAGCCATCATCTGATTAGTTCTTGTGATATGAATAAACGTTTTACTTTACTTAATTACAGTACATCTAAATGCATTTAACTTGAAATGTAAAAATGTTGGGGAGACCAAGAGTTTGGTCTTCTATATTTTAGTTTTGGTTAATCATGGGTATCTTTACATTCCTGCGATATCTGTTCACCCAAGCACATGGATACAAACAAACTTAAAATTGTTCATATTAATTCCAAATCATACCGATTAAATAATTAACAACTTAATCATTAAACAATCACATTAATCATAATCTTATTAATATAATATATTAATTACATTAATAAATAAAAAAAAACATCAAGTTTTATTACTGTCCCAATTAACCTTATTCAGCAAAAGTGTGAGAAATTGTTTTGTTTTGCAGAACATGTCCCAAACTGTAGGCAGAATGCAGGGAGAGGAGAAAATAGCAATAGGAGTAATTTCTCAAGATGAAGGGTTTGTATGTAAAACCTGCCTGTGAACAAACACGCCTGCTCTGACCCACATTAAAAAGCGAAATGTGGAAAATGCCAGCGAAGGAACACATACAAACAAGAGTAGTCGCAGCAGTGAAGGGGAGAGTGCTGGACTTTCGGCATCAACTTTCGGTTTGCCCCTCCACTCACTTGAAGATGTTCAGGCTACAGCCCTGCACGGGCCTCAAATATAGGCCCTAGCCCGGCCGTGTCCAACAGCTTATCAGAATTACCGGCCCTCACGGCCAAAAAAACAGACCGACCAGAAAAACGTTTGGAGCATTTTTTGGTCTTTAAATAGGCTATAAGTTTTCGTTTTTTAAAGTAACGACCAAGCCTTCTCAAATCATCACGACTTGCCTAAAATAAAATCTATAGATATAAAACAGTTCAAGCATATCACAAAGTTTTAACGTTAAACCTAGATAAATGTGCGCTATATCCAATAGTTTGTGCGGAGAGTGGAAGCTAAAGCGCGCTTTGCAGGA